CTTTTCTTTTTCTAAGTTTTCTGCACATGCACCCTGGCATGCTGCAGACAGGGCTGGTTTGTTAACTCACCTCTTGATCAACCACACATTCAGGTCTGGAGACTTTCCTGGACATGAATCTGGGGGTTTTGTTCTTTGAACCACTTAGCTCTGACTTTGGCCTTATAGCACATGCTTCATCATGATGGAGAAGATTTAGTTAATCACAAAACTGTTCTTGGATGGGTATGAGGAGTTCCACTGGGAGGATGTTTAAGTACCATTACATTTCATGTCTATGTACCGAGTCCCTTTCCTTGGCTGAACAGCACCCCACACATACATGTTCTCAGGATGAATTACTATTGGCAGGAAACAGGACTGATGGGAGCTCTCATCTGTTCTTCTCCAGACTAAACGTTCCCAGAGTTCTAAGCAGTCCAATCTCTCCAATCTTTAGCAGAACATCGTTCTCTCCCTGATGGTTTTCTAGAACTAGCATCTTTGCTGTTCGTCGACACCAGAGCATCCTCCAAATATCTGTTGACTGTTCCAAAATCAGACTGCTGCAGGTTGTTCTTTCGGCGGCCCGATCACAGATAGATCAAGTTTAGGAGATTGTTCTGGTTCTTGCAGGACTTTCTTGGAAACCTTAACATTTCTAGAGTTTTTGCAAAATGCCACCATAAAAATCAAACACATTTTTGTCATTCTCAAATGCATTTGGCCACAAGTTTATAACATGACGCACATCTCTCCTTGTTGAGCTGATTTTATTACGTCAATCTGAACACATCTGACCTATCAAGGATCGAGTGGACATGCAGGTCAGCAGATGCCAGAGGTGGAAAGAGTAATAAAATGTTGTACTTAAGTACAAGTATAATTACTTTCATGGAATTTTACTCAATTACAAGTAAAATTACCTGCCTCAAAATGTACTCAAGTAAAAGTAAAAAGTAGCTTATTTCAAATGTAGTCAGAGTAAAAGTTACTTAGTTATTTTTTTGACTGTGCAAGGACGGGCTCTTCTGAATAGTTAAAAAAGGCAATGGGGTATAAATGTCAAAGTGGCCGTTTTTTAAAATTAAATGAACAAATATGCATATTGAAGTACAAAGGCAGTTACACTGCAAACTAGGTTATAGTCACAAGCCCATGACTTTTCCCTGAATGCTTATTTAGAGCAGCTGATTTTTAAAGTTAGCAGAGTTCATCTTTGGTAGTGGGTTCACTCACTCATTTAAAGATATCGGCCAGAGGCAAAATTCGTTTGAACAGCATGTGTAAATGTGTATTAAAATCTCAGATGAAAAAGGTTTTTGGATTTTGACGGCTGGAATTGTAAGAAAATCTGATGTTTGTGACTGGCGCAGGAAAAACAGAAACTAACTTCCGGTCTAAGCCCTGGGCAGCAGTTGACGTTTCACATGGAGCTCTGCTGAAACAGCTGTAGTAAACAATGCCTGGCTCCGGTGTTACAATGTGTCATCAATCAGATGTAGCTTCTGAAGCCTCTACTAATCCATCAGATTTGTTTTTCCTCTGGGATACGGCAACGAGAACGGATGTTAGATTACTGGAGAAGTTCAACCGAACTTCGACCCTGCCAGCTGGATATCACTACCAGAGGTGCAGACATGTTTTAGACCGTTTGACTCAGAAGACCTGCAACCTGATTTGGACATAGAGGAGGATTCTGTTCATCTTCAGAACCAAAATCGGTACAGTTTGTTTACTTTTCTTAAATATTTCATTTCTGTGCTCCACTGGGAGCTCTAAGCTGACGAGTTCTCAGCTGGTCTTAGCTCCATCATGTGTCCCAATATAGTTCAGTAATCTACAGTTTTACTGCTGTGTGTATTTATTGACATAACTCTGGACAATAATGAACCTACAATTTACCAGAATAAATCTTCCTGATGCTGGAGTAACTCCTTAGCTCAACTCGTTGTTTGCACTAATCCAGGATGTCATGGAGGTTCTAATGTTGAAATATAGAGATAATCTTTTAGATTATATCTCTGTGTGTGTGTGTGTGTGTGTGTGTGTGTGTGTGAGAGAGAGAGAGAGTGAGTGCGTGCGTGTGTGTGTCGTAGCTTTCCCAAAGGACTTGTTCTTTCCTTACCGGAGCTAACACGGTTAGTTTTGCTGCAGTCATGCTAACGGGACTCGTCTGGAGTCCAGAAGTAGCGGTGCGGTTCTAGATGGATTTATAGATGTAGGTTATTTTTAGATCAGACCTGTTATTTAAAAACGCATGTAGGACACAGACACATGGCTCAGAACTTTTGCTGCAGCTGTAAACGCAATTTTACGTAATAATTAGGAGCATCAAAGTAAACAAATAACAGTGATTCACAATATTAGCATCAGCAGCTAGCTTGTTTTACGTGCTGGAGTGATGTATGCGAAACACAGTTCTTCACTGTCTGGAGGAGAGGATTTGGATTTTCTGTAATCATTTATGACAAAAGTCCTTAATAAAATAAAAAACTGGACCCAGTACATGTTTATATAGATGGTAAAGTGTAGTTATTTTGCATTTCTACAATTTTAATGCCGAGCCAATACCTTTAACACTTCACCACTGAAATCAGTTTGTTCATTCCAGTCCTCCTAAATAATCCTCCAATCATCCAACTGGAATCCTTAAGGGTCCCGTAACGTCCATCCTGTCAGAACAGGCCGTGGGAGCCCAGGTGTTATTAGAACTAATGGTGTCTCCTCACCAGCGTGAGCCTCCAAACTGTGAAGGTTCGTCTCCAAACATGAACTTCAAATTCATGCATTTATCTCCTCTTGTAACACTTTAACATGTTTTAAAAGGCTTGTATCATGATATGTTACACCTCCCAGACCAAAGATAGGTCCAATATAAGATAAAACATTATCATAAACACTGCAGAGACATCATTGTTTATTAAATACAAGTTATTTTCCTGAGCCGTTACTTCAGCCAAGATATAGGATGCATGGATTTGATGAAACCATGCTGTCTTATGCAGTCCTACACACACACACACACACACACACACACACACACACACATACACACACACACACACACACACACACACACACACACACTGCAGCATGTTAGAATCATTTGAATGACTAATTTAACTACACTGAACTGCTTTTGTAATAATTTAATCTCTTCTTCTGGAGTAAAATAAAGAAACAAGCTAAATCATCACATCTGTGGCATCAAGAAGCATCTTCTGAGTTCAAACAGGGATGGAGCACAATGTTTACACCTGAACAGTATCAGGATTAACTCACAGAGGCCTGCAGGTCTTCTGTTTTATGAGCAGAGCGCTGAGAATCCGCTTCTTAGGAGCGCTAAACGTTATTTTGCCGCTTCCGTGCACGGTAAGGAAACACATTTCAAACACGGAACCGAGTCTGGTTGCCGAACCGAGCAAAATTCAGATGACGTCACACCGGTGCGCGAAGGTGCAGGTTCCAACCCACAGGAGAGGAGGGAGAGAGGAGGTAAACAGCGAGTGGATCACAGAACTTTTGTTTTTGAGCAAAACTGTGGTAAAAATGGCTGTTTGTCCTCATCATAAAGCGTGTAGCCCCCCCTCCCCGGTTTAGACGTGGTGCTCATGCAGGTGTCTCTTTCTGTTCCGACGCTGCTGCACGTAATATTTTTAATTTATTAAGCCTACAATTTATTTTTACTCAGTAACGGATATGATTTAAAATGTAGCGAATTACAATTCTTTTTTAAAAACTTACTCAAGTAAAAGTAAAAGTACAGATTTTAAAAACGACTTAAAAAGTATAAATTTACAAAAAAGCTACTCAATTACAGTAACGTGAGTAAATGTAATTCGTTACTTTCCACCTCTGGCAGATGCACACGCCAACAGTAAAAGCTCAGGGATATTGTTGCCTGCCATCCACCCACATGTTCCACTTTCTGACCTGGATGATTAACTGGCATTTCCAAGAACAGAAACTTCTGTAAGTGTGGAGAAAAAGCTGAACAGATTTGTGTTTTCATGTGCCACACACTCCAGAAGTTCTCTAAATTATCTTGGGACTATGAACTTACCCCTGCTTCACACTGGAAACATCAGCGGCGCAGAATGTTGCTGCTTCAAATAGAATCCGTTATAGTCTACGGGGGTGATTCACACCAGCTGCGATGCAGAAATTTTCCGGTGCGTTCCTGAAGCGGCGCGTTGCTTCGGATGGAGTAGAGCTCTATTTTTGCCATGAGCAACTTCTGCAATGCGTTCACTTCTAAAGTTAACATAGGGCTCGACAGGAAATCACAAATGGTGTCAGTGTAAAACATCTCGTAATTTTCAAAATAAAAGCCCATTGCAGTGATGCAATTTCATATTTATGTAGATTACGTCAATGAATGTGACTCCACGGCTTATTTACTCCTTGCATTGTTCCAGAAGTGCAGCGGTGTGTTTTTCATGTCTTTCATCCTGGCAGTGGATAGGAACAACTTCATATAACAATATCAAACATGATTTCCTTCTTTTTGGTTTAATGGCTGATGGCATAAACAAACTGTGACCTTTGAAGTCTCGAGGGATGTTGTGATCTCAAAAGTCCAGCGAGGAGCACGGCAGAGAACCCGCTCTGCAGCTCAGATTCTCTCGGTGAGTACTGGCACGCAGCGAAGCTCACGAGGAAAACCGCTCTGCAGCGCTTCCAGTGTGAAGTAGGCGGTACAGACAACTGCTGTTAAAGTCTTTGCAACCTGTTCCACAAATGATTACATGTTCCTGAATAATTCTGAAGACTCTTTCTTCTCCTAATAGAACTTAAAGGTTGTGCCAAGCTTTCTGCAGCTTTGGAAGTCAACAGGACTCGGGGACACACACGCATTGAGGATCTTTTCTCATCTCGTTTTTGTTCTTACCAGATTCATCAAATTAGCTTTCACCAGAGAAAGCACCGGAGTCTATTACATTTTCCTTTTGTTCCCAGGTGTCCATCTGCTTGAAGTTTGAACCGAGGACACTCTTTATGTCAAGAACACAAGTGAGTCACTTGGATAGTTCTGTTTTTAATCTCATAGATTATTCACACACGCACGCATGCCTCAAGGCTGCTATCGGCATACATTCATGATTTCTATAAAAGATCATTCGTTCTTTCCAACATCTGAGTAACAAAACGTATTAAAAATAAAGTTATCATGATGATAGTTTAGAAACCATTCAGTCTTCATGTTTTACGTACAGAACGACAAGGGTCACAAATCAAATGATTTCTTTAGAAATACAACATGATGTATTTCAAAATAGACTGTATAGAACTAAAAAAATCACAACTGTCCAACAAACGGTGATTTAAGAGCAGAAAATGGCTTTTCATCTAAAATTCAATACAAACATTACAATATCAAGAGAAAACATAAGTTTTTGCTCTGAACGACGGAATGTAATAGGATTAAAGAGTAAAGGCCATGTCTAATTGCTGACAGAGATCATGAAAGCGCCCAAAAATGTAATGTATCTCCTCAATCAGCTTGGATCAAATGAATAAAGTCCATTTGCACTGAGCTGATTTTTGCACTGATTTAAAATGATACAAACTTGAGAAGTTTAGGAGGTTTGTGTGTATGAAAAGGCCAGTGTCTTTCTATTTCCTGATGGCAGCCACCGCCTTCTTTGCAGCGTCGTCAAAATCTTCTGCTGCTGTGATGGGCAGGCCGCTCTCAGTCAGAATCCTCTTGGCTTCGTGCACGTTGGTCCCTAACAGACAGAAAAACACGCTTACAACAGGTAATGACTAAAAAGTCTCAACAAGGTTGAACCCAACGTGCCATCTGCAGCCGTGTTAAAAACCAGGCTGTGTGAAAGAGGAGGAGCTCCTCAGGAGGAATCATTCCGCTCACAGACAGATGGATGGAGCCACAGGTCAGTGATGGCTGATCCGAGAGCAGTTTCTACACAGAACAACCAACTGAAGGGCAATTTGTGTGTGTGTCGATGCTCCCCGAGCTGCAGCGAGGTCGGTGGGAGAAGGGGATGGGTGGAGCGCTGTGATCACAGCCCGAATCAATGGAAGCAACTGGAGAAATTGTGCTCAGACCTGAGGGCTGGAACACTGAGCCGGCTCCCTCCTGGCGCTGCTCAGCGACATAGCTGTCACAGCACGGGGCGGGGGTGCTGCTGTTGCTAGAATGAATCCAGCTGTTTGTCTGGAAGTTACAAATTTTACTCATGAATGTGATCAAAAAGTGAAAAAACAGCCAGACAGTGTTCTGCTTTCATCATTTAACAATTCAGGAGGGTTAGGGGTTTCTTTCCACCATTTATGTTCAGCAGAATAACCAAATTTACAAATAAAATTTAACTGACAAGCTCTATACGAACAGTTTCATTCATCATTTATTTATTTCTATGATTTTAGGATTTGTCTGCACTTCAATCAATGACTCTGCAATCAATAATAAATAATCTATCTTATAGGTCTGGTAGTATTTCAATGTTAAAAAGTCAGTTAATTAAATAGAAAAATGTAAACGAGATCCAAATTTAGACCGGGGATGATCACTAGCAACATTTTTTAAGTGATAACCAATTTTAGGTAGCTACCACCACATATCTCCTATCATGCATATTTAGCAAAAATTAGGTTTAATGTTTAAGTTAACCCAGTTGTGACAAACAGACAAAACTATCTCACAAACTAAACATTGGATCTGTCAGATTTCACAGTTTAAGTGAAAGGAGAGGTAGCTGAAGAGTTTGTTGTACAATTTGTACAAATCTGTTGGTACTATTTGGTCAATGAAAGGTGTTCTTCAAACCTGAGATAACTGGAGCAGTTTGCTCATGAAGAGTGGGCCAAAATACCTGCTGACAGAGGCAGAAGTCTCATTGACAGTTACATGAATCAAATGATTCCTGTTTCATTAGTTAATTTTTTAATAATTCAGTTGAAGCATAATTGAAAAGCAATGTCTGGCTTTCACTGGTTAAATTTCACAGAATTATTTATTTATTATTCCTTTTGTTAAATTCAAGTTATTTCTGTGACCATTGTGTGTTTATTTTTTTTTCATTGATCAAAGGGTACCGACGGTTTTGTCCACATCTGTACGTAGTTTGTAAAAAATGTGTTATTAATAGAATAAGACCAATAATTTCCTATTTTAATGCCAGTATTGGCAAATAATATCAGTAGTTATAATATATACAAATAAAAACACTGTAGTCATTAACTGATTTACTTTTGGAGAAAACCACATTTAGGATGATCCAGTCCATTTTACTGCCAAGTTAAAATCTGATGTTTCATTTGATTAAAACTGCTATACAGTAATTCCACCAGCTTCTACTATAATGAGATGGTTTGATGAGTGAGTATGAAAGGCATGTTAATACTAGGTCTTTAATGTTACTAGGTCTTTAGTTACTGGTATGTACTTTAACCCTTTAGTGCATAATGGTCACTACAGTGGACAGGTACTCAAAATTGTTATTTATTTGTTTTTGCTATTAAGCACAGCTGTTGAAGACTTTATTGCATTTGAGCCCCTCCATTTGGACTTCAGTAAGCCAAGCCAACATATTTCATGCTCAGAATGCACACTGTCCACTGAGGTGGACATGTAATAAATTATTTGTAAATTATAAAATTTTACAAAAAATATTTGTTGAAATTTGTTTCATTCACACCTAAAGATGAATAAAAAAATTGTTAAAAAATCATGGTTGAAGATTTCATAATTCATGCATCAAAGGGTTAAGCTTAAACATGTCCAATAAATACATTTAATTGCTGTCAACACTTCTGTTTTTCAATTGGTTAAAAAAAGGACAGAAATTTAAAAGTTTGTGTTTCAGCTCTGATAAACCTCCAAACATCAACTTAGACCTGTTAAAGCTACTAAGTGAGACTGGGGTTTTACTTTTTATTACCAAAAATGAATAAATAAATAAATAAAAATAAAAAATATGTCTTTACATATCTAAATAAAATACATTATGAACATTTTATATATTTTATACAACCAATCGTTCAAGAACAGTACTCGTCTCTGTGGTTATGAGGTCCTACTGAACCCAAAGCGCCAGAAAAAGTAAAAAAATAAAAATAAAACTCCCAATAAAAACTGGTGTCTCAGGAGGTTTCAGCCGTAAACCAACTCCAGAGGTCTGAACTGTCTAATGACCAAATTAAAAGACATTTTTTTCCACGACTGAGTACTTTACACCAAATCAATACCTGATGCAGTTCTTCCAAAGAGTTATTAATAAGATTCAGATGCATGTTTCAGAATTAAGCAGCATTCGTCGCGATCAAATCTAAATAGGTGAAAATCACTGAGCCACGTTTGAGAGCTCATACGCTCACGGGTTGACCTCAGCTCCCCTGGATGGCGTGTAATTAAAAACTGCACGATACGTGAATTCTCTAGAGGCCTGGCCACCCTGATCAATAGACCTTTTATGAGGAATTCCATTACCAGCGCCACTTAACGCCTAATATTTCATCTCTTTTGTCCAGCCTTATAATAAGTCATTCCAAACACATTTTCTGCAGGTTCACACTCCAAGCAATCAATTCTGCAATGTAATTAATTAGAATAAGAGCAGGAAGAGGCCCTGCTCTGGAGCAGAAACGGGGGTAGAGTGTCTCATCGGATGGCAGAGACTGGTCTCGCTGTGTTTGTGTCGGGATTGCTGCTGCGGTAACTCACAGAGCAGTGTGTACGTTCACACTGACCTCTGACCTGCGTTCTGATTGATGGGTCTGTATGGTTATGCTGACAGCCTAATCTGTCAGCTGATTAAAACAAACAACACTGGAATAAACTCACAGAAAACAGGACAAATATATGGATCGTGCTTGTAGGAGAACAAACAAACAACACATCTCATTTTTGTCACGTTTTCTATAAATATTCAAGAGCAGCAATTTAGATTTGAATGAACCTGTGAACAGTGTGAAGGGAGGGAGTGACACATCTGTGGGCGTGAGGTGGAGAAGTCCTGCATGTCTTCTGTGAGCTCCGCAGCTGATTGCAGTTCCACGGTGGGCGGTAGGGAGCAGTGATAGCTCGCAGCAGCGTCCAGAAGGACCGAGCCCTGCTGAATGGGTGTGTGTGAGTGTGTGGAGCAGTTTATGCATATTTGTGTGTGTGTGTGTGTGTGTGTGTGCTCGCCTGCAGCCACTAGGTGCTGCCAGAGACCTGCTCACAGACAGGGTTAGGAGAAAACAGGAAGGTGCACAACAACAAAAAAGTAGAGTCAAATAAAAGAGATAAAACTCCAAATAACTAACTATAAAATTTAAATCTGCTGTAAAATACTTATTTCCCCTGTAATTCTTTAAAATCTCAAGTTTGTTAAACAGCTCATTAGTCTTTCATCGCGGCTAAATGAGTAATTAGTATAAGAGGATTGGTAAGCGACCAAACGGTTGTAGTTAGCGGTGTGATATATGCTTCCACTCCACAACACTTTTCTGTTGGAGTGCCGCTCCAATTAGCCAACTCACTGGCGACAATTGTGAAAATGCCACTTTAATCTATGAGTCAATTACAGGCCACAACATTTCAGCACAATTCTAAGATCTGGGCCAGCACCAGAACTGGGCCTGGAGGAGTTCTGTTGCAGCTGCACAGACTAAAACCGAGACCAAGTCAAACTAACCATCATATGGAATTTTTTGACAGATATATTGGAAAACCTTTAACTGTGCTTGTGTTCAGATGTAGAAAAAGAAAAAGTTGGAGGCTAGATATTTTATCTTCTCCAGTTTCTGAGTTTGCAGGAAAAAGAGAGAAATCTGGGCCTCAGAGGACTGATTTCACCTTTCAGTTCACCGGTTCTCAAGCCAATTAATGGTTCTGACTCTGTTCCATTCTTCTGTTCATTCTCACTGGTGAAATAATGTTGAATAGTAGCAACTGCAGCACACACATATGTTCAAACTGTCTGATATCTAGGAACATAATGTGATGATGTCCCCTTTAAGTGTAAACCACTCTCCTTGGGATACATCAGACAGCGTTCAGCTCTTCAACAGGAATACCTAGACAATACATTTCCTTTATTTCTCCTGTTAAAGCCATAAAATCACATTTAAAGGAGCCAACATGTTGCATTTTTGATCCAGAATCTGAAAACTCCAGTTTAGACGTTGAAGTCCTGCCTGCTCCCCAGCAAACAGTAATATTTAGGAAAACTTCTTCACTACGTAGAGGAGATTACATGCATGATCATAATCTAATCTTTATCTAGATATGGAGGTCTCAAACGACTCTCACATGACCTGAAAACAAACATTGTTCACCATCATGGTTTAGGAGAAGGATGCAGAAAGCTGTCTCAGAGATTTCAGCTTTTTCCACGGTTAGGAGCATATTGGAAATGGAAGACCACAGGCACAGTTCAAGTTGAAGCTCAAAGTGGCAGACCCAGAGACACCTGGGATAAACATAAGCAAAGAATGGTGAGAACAGTCAGAGTTAACACCCGAGGTGGACGCACCGCGTCACGCCCGAGATTTTTAGAAGTCAAGCGGTCACACACAGAGCGCTTCACGGAAAGTCACGCGATAGTCAAAACATCACGCAGGACTTGAGAACAAGAAGCGAGAAGTGACTATTGTTTATAGGTGGCCAGACTTGTCGTCGTGTTTTGTGAGACTCTAATACATTAACAATGAGTAAGTACGCTATTTATTAGGCTATTTTAGGATCAATATTACTTTAAAGTTATCAAAACTCCAGCTGGGTTCGTACCGGTGGTTGTGTTAGTGCCGTAAGGCCGTTCCGTGTCTTAATGCCTGTTGTAAAGCACTCCATAATATTGGAAACAGCCGCGCCGCGGCGCTTGAAATAGAACTGGCGCCTATCTTCAGCGCCTAGGCACAGTGCTCCCCATGTGCAAAGTCTCATGAACCAAAATGGCTTCTATTTAAAATGACGGCGCAATGCAGCACGTCTGCCTCCGGTGTGCCCCAGGCTTCACACCAAAGGCCTACAACTTCATCTTGCTGCAGATAGAGTCACTGTGCATTTTCAACTATTTAGTGCACTTTACACAAGGAGATGCTGTATGTGAGAGTGATGCAGAGGAAGCCTTTTCTCCACCCACAGCACAAACAGAGATGCTTAAGATTTGCTATAGTACATTTGGACAAGCAAGCTTCATTTTGGAATAAGGTGAATTGATGACACTAAAATTGAGTTATTGGGGAATAACAAGGGAGGTTATGCATGGAGGAAAAGGAACACAGCATTCCAAGAAAAATACCTGCTACCTGCAGTAAAACATGGTGGTTATTCCATCATGCTGTGGGCGGTGTGGCCAGTGAAGGGACTAGAAATCTTGTTAAAGTTGAGGGATGCATGGATTCCACTCAATATCAGCAGATTCTGGAGACCAATGTCCAGCAATCAGTGACAAAGCTGAAGTTGCACCAGGGCTGGATCTTTCAACAGGACAACGACTCTAAACACTGCTCAACATCTACTAAGGCATTCATGCAGAGGAACAAGTACACCGTTCTGGAATTGCCATCTCTGTCAAATCAGTAAACATTCAGATAATTTATTGTGCAGGTATTGGGTTAGATTCTTGCAGCTGCCGAGACCTCAGTTTCATCCATCATGGAGTGATTATTGATGACTTTGATTGCTAACCCTCCTAATAATCAGCACCAAGCAGAAGGAGTATTCCCGTTACAGTGCAAAATGAAGGAATCTGCTCCTGTGGGTTAAACATCAAATGGCTTTCATTTGGAGTCAGAGCAGGGTGCTCCTCAACAGAGCACACACATTCTCCTTTGAAGTGCTAGTCAGCATTTAATAGAAGTTTTCATATCTCTTAAACTGTCTAGACTGTTGTTTAAGAAAGAGACGCCATTGCTAAGACTACCGGGTCAAAAAGACAAAAAGTTGGATGTTTGGAATAACGTTTTTAGGTTTGTGCACATTTCCCTGGGAAATCTGCCCAGTATTTTCTTTGAGGACCTAAAACCTAAAGGTGAAAAGTGTAAAACCCAGCCGCTGAGATTGCAGATTTACTCATCTGTATTTACGGTTTGTCTACAGCTGCAGCTGATGGTTTTTGAAAGCTTTAATGCTTCAAATGACTGATGGAGCCATAAAAACCTCTTCAAAATCTATTTTGAATTAAATGAGAGGGTAACTTTAAGACGGATGCTCGACAGACAGCTGGGGATTGGTTAGGTAAATCAATAGGTTTGGCAAAACAGATAAGTGAATGCAGTCACCCTTTTCAATGGACCCTTAGGACTATTTAAAGAGGATTTTCTTTTCTTGTGGTAGACAACAGGCTCACAGTATACTTAGGTCTATGTCCATCCTGTAGCCAAAGAGGGCAGTGCTGCACTTGATCAGGCACCTCCTCCCATCCATACCTTAATTATCGACATACATTTGTGTATTTCTGGATGGACTTTATTTTAGTTTAATACGTTAATTAAACAGCTAAGCAGAGGAGGGGCTGGATGATGGAGCAGTTAGCTGCACTGTTGCCTGGTAACAAGAAGGTTGCTGGTTCGAATCCTGCCTGTGTAGCCTTTTTGAACAGAGTTGGCATGTTTTCCAAATGCCTATGTGGGTTTTCTCTGTTTACTCTGATTTCTTTCCACAAACCAACATACTAATCAGGCTGTTTGGACACTCTAAATTGCCTCTAGGTGTGAGTGAAATTATGACTGTTTGATTTGTCTCTGTGCGTCCTCTGACAGACTAGAGACCTGTCCAGGGTGTCCCTGCCTCTCGCCCGTGACTGCTGGAGCTAGCCACTGGCTCCCCATGACCCTAGTGAGAATGAAGCGGATCAGACAATTGGATGGATAGATAAGAAAATATGCTGAAGCTTACAACCAGTTACAGATTCACACATCTACTAATGTATCCTTAATAGCATCTAGCCCGCACGACCGTTCTCAACATTTGGGAGTACAGGACCCTTCAACAGTGCAAAAAGCATTGGTCTTAAAAGAGCCCCTCCAGTAAAAAGTGTGCCTGGTAATCCATTCTGATCCAGTTGAGGAGTGTCGAGCCATTCTCACTGCTCTGCAATCAGCCCGGCAAGCTGAGCTGATTGATTCTAAACCAATCCTCTGCGCCAGACTGAAATGCAGGATGTAATGACCCACGACTAAAGCTCAGACTAGGCCTGCGCCAGGAAAAAAGCAGTCAAACCATCCAATAGTCTTGACCTTCTACACCATTTGGTAGTTGGGCTGAATTAAAGCATTCTAAGGTGAGAAGTGGGAGTCTGGTTTGGTTGGCAGGTCTACGAAACCGAAACAGAGAGTAGTTTTGGTCTCATGAAAAATTTTAACCAAATCCATGTTATGTTGTCCCTGTTATACTCGTGCATCGGTTCTGATTAGAGGTGCAACTAAGGACTTTGTTTGATTTTGTTTTGATCTATGTGAAGCACTTTGTGATTCTATGTCCGTGATAAGTTCTATATAAATAAAATGTACTTACTTACTTACTAATGACTATTTGGTAAACGGTAAATGGCCTGTATTCGTATAGCGCCTTCTTAGGGTTCTACAACCCTCCAAGGTGCTTTACAACACAATCAGTCATTTACCCATTCATACACACATTCACACGCTGGTGGGGATGAGCTACAATGTGGCTACAGCTGCCCTGGGGCGTGCTGACAGAGGCGAGGCCTCCGAGCACTGGCGCCACAGGACCCTCCGACCACCACCAGCAGGCGAGGTGGGTTAAGTGTCTTGCCCAGGGACACAACAATCTCTGGTCGGAGCCGGGATCGAACCTGCAACCTTCCGATTACTGGACAACCCGCTCTACCTCCTGAGCTACTGCTGTCTGACTATTTGATAACATCTTACAACCGGGTCCCTTTATTAAGCTTTATTAAGCATGAATAAATTCTTAAATAAAGTATTAACAACTGTATAACCATATTATGTAATGCATTACTAATCAGACACTGCCCTGGACCTTTGTCCAAACCTTAAGGACACTTAATATTTAACAATAATGATAGCGTTAATAAAGGGTCCCTTACCGACTATTTTTATATCAGCTAATTCAAAACATTTAATATTTCCGCTCAAAATAAAAATCAGCTTTTAACAACCAACTTTTAGATTTATTGTATATAATCAAAATAACACGCCTGAATAATCAATCAGGTTCACACTTCCCGACGTTTAGACATGAAATTTAAATTAAATAGTCAAAAGACATATTGATGCAAAACACTGTATTATAACTTTTAATATTGTACATGAGTTTATCTTAATTTACACAAATTCAATGATCTTAAAACTGGAAGTTGTAAAACTTAGGGCTCCATAAACCACCTTTTATTGTTTGAAGTTCTTCCATACTTAGACCCAGTCTTTGAAAGCTTTTATAACTCAGCTGTTTCTTCACCAAGGCAGAAACACAATCAGCTGTATTAGGGCTGCGCGATCCGACGATATAAGATCGTTAAAGTGATGACGATCACCCAAAACTCGGAGATCGTAGAGCCGTCTATTTCCGTTCCATCACCTGTGCCATTACTTCTGGACGCGTCTACCGGCACTTTTTTTCTCAGCTGAGTCATGCTATTTGCTAGTCTGCTTCTGTCGGCACGACAGACACACCAAGAGCATTTTTAAGGCAGTGTGTTGGTTTGTTTAGCTGGGGTGCTAAGCTGAATCCACCACGATAGGTTTGAAAATACTTTGAGAGTGCAATGATGACTGGATCTGAACGTGTTTAACGTGTAGATTAGTGGTGGGAGGAGAACTGTTGCTTCTACTGAAACATTTAAGAAATTAAAGCTAAAGTCAGAAAAAAATATATGTTGGTGAAAAAATATTGACTGACTAGTCACCGTAGTCAGAGCATGGTAACTATTTGCAGCAGTCAAGTTCTGAATAAAAGCTACCGGAGCGTACACACATGCACACTCTGAACTCTCTAGACACACCACTCAACAGGAACTTGACAATTAAGCAAAGCACTAACCCCTTCCACACACACACACACACGCACGCACGCACGCGCACACACACACACACACACACACACACACACACACACACACACACACACACACACACACACACACACACACACACACACACACGAATGAGGAACATTAGCATTTGAGGAACATTAGCATTTACAGGTGAAAGGTGAGCCAATCAGTGCTGTGTCAACTGTTCCACTGACTTCTGCTAATAAGTAGAGCTGAATATGATGTGTACGAAAAAATGCAATGCTGCTCTGACAGACGATGTATACAGGATTTTCAGGACTTAGTGGAAACAGCACTGAAACACTGGCTGTAAACTTTGAGACAAACTTAGAAGGGCCTTCCTTTTTATTAATATATCTATAGAACTTAAGACATCATGGTTTGGTCACACAAAGCTGGTTCATAAGGGTTGAAGGTTTCAGTAGAATAGAACAAAAATGTACAAATAATGACCTTGTTGGATATATTTAACCTTTAGCTGGAGACCTTCTGTGTCACACAATAGAGCAAGACAACTAAATCAGTGAATAGAAGAGGTGTAGGCCTGGTTACATTTAGTGGCATTTTAAACTATCATCCAGCAAGACACAATTCTTATTAAAAGTCGAGAGCTTTCATTCCAAGCAAGATGGAAATCGATGCTCAATTTATCTGAGGGAGGAGGAGAGTCAAGAGCAGATTACCCAAAATAGGTAAAACACAGATCTATGAGTGTGTATAAGGTGCTGTTTTACCTTCAAGTCTCACCACTAGTGGCACCTTCAGTTCCAACTCTCGACAGGCTTTGGTAATACCATTGGCAATGATGGCGCAGTTGACGATGCCTCCAAAGATGTTGACCAGGATGGCTTCAACCTTTGGGGCAAGAACATAAACAAACAATATAATGGCATTTAGTACACACCGCCGCCTGGTAAAAATATAATTTTTGGGGAAAGGTACAAAGACAGTCAAACTGATTTTGTTATGTGGAGACACAAAATCACAATAAGAGGCATCTGATTCTGAAATAATCCGTGACAAGCAGTCTGACGGTAGCTAAAGGTGAAAGACAAAATATAAAAATGTGGACATATGCTCAATTTCAGTGGCTGAAAACAAAACCTCACCAAAAGAGAAGACAAATCAGAAACCAATACTTCAAACAAAAAGGGGGAAGCAACAATAATTAGTGGTCAGCGATTAAAAAGTCCTAACAGTGTCTATGATGATCTGAATATCTTAAGATGTTGTTCCAGTCACAATTCCCCATTTCCATGACAACTACCAAGGACAAATTGCTGCCAAACATCTCATGCTTTGTACTATATTTACTTCAGTCGTGTTTCAAGTTGTTTGGAAAAATGTCTAAAACTTTGTCACAAAACAAGCAACTGAAACTGATCTTGAGTTTTCTGAAAAAACAAGGCGGCTAGTGTGCGTTTTTACGTGTATGATTACACTGACAGTCTAGCACTTGGTAATTACCCTGGCTGGCTTGGTGGAAAAGTAGACTTCGAGCACACAGGATTAATCCTCCATGTTTGTTTATAATCACTGCTAATCTGTTTGCGCCGATTTGGATGAGCAGCTTGTGGGGGTGTGTGAGCGTGTGCTTGCCTGTTGTGAATGTGTATGTTTCCAGCGTATGGTAATGATGTTTACAGGGAGAGAAGATCAAGGACTTGGATAGCTATCAGAGAGGCAGCCATGGCATTGTCCTCGACATGATATCCAAATGAGCATCTCCTTGTGTGCAGCAGAGAGTGACACACAAGACCCGGCGAAAGCTCGAAAACAAACACAGATGTAGGCAGTACCATAACGACTCGTGGAGCTAACCGAGTGAGAAGTTAGGACGCACGGTGAATGCTTTGATTAAATTTATCAAGCAGGGGCATGAGAAGGGATGCGTGGAAAAACAAGGGTGTAAAGCTGGGTAAAAAACCTCAAATTAAGAACAAATGTGGCCCAAATGCTTTGACGAACAATGGCAATTATGGCATTTGATGTTGAAGCAAATAGTGGAATAAAGTTTGCCCTCCCTTGACCAGAACCCCCAAATTGTCAAGATTTATTTTCAAAAGCTGAATAAAAAATTAGATACAATTGTTGAAAAAAAATAAAGCAGTACATTTAAAACTAAAATCATCAAGCATTTGAAGGGAATGTGTTTCCGCAACTGAGCTAATGGAGAACTATAATGGGCCATTCCCATCTGTACCGGGTCGGCCCGGGCCGGGTAGCCCCAGTCGGCCCCAGCCTGGCCCGGTTGATTCCACGCATCCTTGTCTTAAGCCCATGTGGGCTGATTCTACCCACCAATCAGAGGCTTGCTCTAATGGAAGGTGTGAATTTGCTGTCAGCAGTGGGTGTGTTGGCCCTGGTTGGCCTGAAGCAGACCCCCTCGAGAAGAGGGCTGAGAATGAGCCTTGGTTGGCCCGGAAAAATACCAGGCCACCCAGATTTGCAAACAACCTACGCTACCCGGCCCGGGCCGACCTGGTACAGATGGGAATGGCCCATTACATAAGCTTAAATATGATCCGTAAAGAAAGTTTAAATGAGCTCTTTCTCATACGGAACAGGAGCTTTTAAAATGTACTTTGTAAATATGACAATCAAAAATTAAATTTAGAAATACATTTTGCTCTGGTTTTATTTTCCAGCTCTACATCCATCCATATAACTCCGGTTCAGGGTCACAAGCTTTGTATGTAGCAGACAGTGAAAAAAAAAAAAAAAAAAGAAACTATTCATGAGGGCTAAATGATGCTAAATGGAAATTTTCTCAAGATGTGACCTGCAGTTCAAAGACTTCATGGGTGTCTTTATTATTTTAAAGTTTATTCTATCTAAAGTTCTAATATTTATTGATGAATCATCTCACAAGGCCTCCACTTGGAATGAGCAGTGCATTTTCAATGAGTATAAAAGACATCAAAGAAGACATTGTGACATGGGTGACCACTTTAAAATCTCAGCATTTCAATGTAAAGATGACACAGTAGACACACCTTCAAACCACTGTGCAGTGTCCCACTGGGGGGCAGCAGAGATTCAGATGCTGTTTGCAGGCTAACAAGTAGAGCTCTATTTTCACCCCATATACAGTCTATTTTTCAGCTGTGTCTCTATAGGGAAGAGCCATATTTCTTCCATTCATGCATCTCCTATTGACACCCATGTATATTAATGATACATGAGACGTGATTTATGTTTCCGGGTGTAAGCGTAACCGTAGTTTATAGAAATACGGATGCGAGAAAGACTAAGTTGCACTTTGCTGCAAGTTTGGTTTATTCCCCTCCTGGATTTCAGTTTACAAGAAAGTACATGCAGAGGAACATTATTCTCCCAGAAGAAAGAGATGTCTACAAAGGGGCAAAGATTTGCTAAAATATGAAATAATTTGCCACTTCTGTAAAATATTGGAAGAGAAGTAACTGAGAATCATTCACAATCAGATGCTTTGATGTGTCCAGAGTAAAATACAGTGTCAAGCATTCTTAATAAATATGGTAGCAATTGGTAACAATTCTTTGCACCAGTGTAGGGCATTGTATGATGCAAAAAGCTTTAAGAATGCTTTAAGACCTAAATTTAGGGGCAAATTCTCAGTTTGATGCTTTCGTCAATCAAAATCTTGCATTTCTAAAATGTACGAGCCCTCAGTACCTCTGAAATCCAGCTTTAAGGTATGAAAAAGCACAGAACACTTCAATTCAACTAAAATTGTCAGCTTCACATACGTACTGCAGCGCTCTGCCTCATGTTACAGAACAGCCCCTTTCCTTAAAGGCGTTCTTTTCAGGTGAGCTGAGTAGGCAGCAAGGTAGATTTCTCTCATCAGAGCTCAGTAAAGGCATCAGGTACAGTATAATGTGCCAGCTCACTCTTTGTCACAGGATCTTTGTGTGCTCTTTCAGGCAGAGTTACAAAATGAGCTGGTGCAGTCTACCTGGGTTCCACTAAAATGAATCAAATTTTGTAAAATAGGATCACTGCTGCCGGCATTTCGATGCTGTGCCAAGGCTTCTTTTGCATCAAAATGACAAAAAGTGCCTTCACAGGAGAAACTAGCTTTTCTGCCTGCTTTTATTCACCCTACTAACTGCATTCAGGACAAAAAGAAACGTAACCCTGACAATTTGACATGCAAACCTATCCTACTGGTTGTGTGCTTTTGCGACGGGTTTAGATACGTGTTGTTTGACAGAACATGCTATGTGTGCTTGCCCTGTGTCATAATTATGCATCAGTGGCCATCTGTATTGACTGAAATGCAGAGACAACACTGCAAAGCAACATTGCATATTACAGGATGTCTTCATATTCACTTCTGTGAAGCTGATGCTGCAAAACGCAAAGAAACATGTTTTACTTTTCTCCTCCAAATTCTAACCCATGGGAAAAGTAATGCATTGTATTACTTCTTGTATTTGTCTGCAAGGCTCCATCTCATGAGTTGTGCATGATTTGCTGAATTATCACAAAAATACACATTTTCATGTCCATACTCCTGGTAAGCGTCACCAATCTCTGCAGGAAAGAAATACGGGAACATATTGTTTTCTTTGTTACCAGAAAGGAGATTGGAGTAAAAAAATATCAAAAGGCAGGGCTGGAGATGGGTGTGTGTCTCTCTGTGGTCTAATAAGGACTATTGTTTTGTCTTATCTGCTGGAGACAGCCTCTATAGTCACCGCCTGCTTTGGCGGACCTTGTTTATTCATCTTCGATCTGCTGGGGGCCCAGTGATCAGCCCTCAAGCCATAGGTAAACACGTGCAGCTTCCAAAATCAAGGCTGGCTCTAATTAGACATCTTGGTGTGGAAAGACTGATGTTGGCAACAAACAAATGTGTTGCTTGTAAGGATGAGCCGGACACTCGTTTCAGACTAGTAACCGGTACGGATAAAGCATTTTTGACGAGTACGAGAATGAAACGAGTAAAACTCGTAAATATCTGTAATCAGTAAAACTTGTAAATATCTGTAATCAGACTTAAAATAACGTATTGATGTAAACCACACCCACTTCCAGTTAAACTACACCCACTCCCGGGTTAGGCCACGCCCACTCCGAGTACAGATACAGATAGTGGTGTACTCGCTCATCCCTAGTTGCTTGCTTTCATGTTTGAAGAAAGACAGTATTGAGTAACTCTGAAGTATGAAGTATGTGCTACCTTAAAGATCCATTGGAATATGTAAGACACAAAACACAACGTAGGCTGCTTTTCTGTAAAAACAAATAATACTCTGCCTTAAAGACCCATTACGTGTGCTGTACTGTGACATTTGGCACTGGTGGTTATACGATCTCCATTGTCATACAGAAAATCACTCTAGATGTTCACTTTCCAAAGATCACATCCTAATGGAACAGCAGGTTGCAGGTTGGCCCTTTAGTGGTGATTAAGACTTATTACAGAATAAATTAGAAACCTAAAAAAAAATTCTATTATCCTTGTAGCGTGAAATCGATAGACTACAACATAACAAACCTGATTTAGATCATAAACTTGTAAAATATTTTTTATAACATTCAGAAATTTGTTTAACACGCATGTAAACACCAAATAGGTTAAGTTTTCTACTTGATTGGTGAGTCTGTGAGAAGAAGAAAAAAAACAGCACTGCTATAAAAGTGGAGAAGAGGTGTGTGTGGATCATACGTAAACACAATGTTTGTGTACTGTGAAAAAGTAATTTAAATCATATTTTTGTCAATTACAAAGAGTTCTGAACCATCAGGATGTGAAAATCAGATTTGATTAATCACACAGCCCCATGCCAAATTTTTATGATTGTACACAAAGGTTTGTTAAGAACTCAGGGGTTTATTATTCCAAAAGAAAAAGACAAGACTAA